ACTGACAATGAAGACAGTGATTCTAGTTTATTTTACATTTATTTAGGATTACTGCATTGTAACTGGGTGTAAATACATGATTATATACATCTTGTTGCCAAGTGAGCAAAGTCTATATATGCTGTAAATCATTGTAATATCCCTTCAAAATCAGGTTTCCAATTGGTTCTGTTTAATAACCTAATACTTTCAAAATTTTTATTGCAACATAGTATTTTTAAAAAATTTAGTGCATTGAGCTCAATGAGCTGATAAGCTCTTATCTTGAGTGCAGGTTCATAATCCCATATTTTCAATGGGTTTACTTAACTGAGAAATTTTCCAGATTGAACATTGCACTGTTAACAAAATAAGCCTTATTTGCACTAATTATTGATGCTACAATTGTCAAATGAAGAGTCTTTTGTGATTTAATGGATCATATCAGTAAAATCACTATAGTGATAATTGTTGTAAAATATTGCTCTACTAAAACAATCTACCTCGCATTTGGTGATTAACAGATCTTGCATCATATATTTTGCATAAGAAATATTTGGCAACCTCACAACAACCAAATTTGCAACCCCCAAAATTTTTGTGCATGCCTCAAAATCTGAAATTTCTCTGCAGCAATAATCTCTTTTCTGCAGCAATAATTGTTGAATAGATACTTTGAACTTGAGTTTGTTATGATTTACACAAAAACATGGCAAAAAGTGTAGACAGTATGTTACCTCAATCAAAACCCACATGTCAATACAGTGATATTCATCAATAACAATGTAAGTTATAGTTCCATTTGAGTTCATCTTTGAAAATACATCTAACATATCAGGAGATGTAGCAGTCTCTGGAGTAAGGAACAAGAAATTATATTCTGGTGTATTGTACGGTGGCCCATAGGGGACATGCCATAAATATAAAAATATGCCTTCAGAATTTTATATAATGTCTTCAGAATTTTATATAATGCCTTCAGAATTTTATATAATGCCTTCAGAATTTTATGTAAAGACCTTCGGAATTTTATACGATGCCTTCAGAATTCTATATGATACCTTCAGAATTTTATATCATACCTGCAGAATTTTATGTAAGAGCCTTCGGAATTTTATACCATGCCTTCGGAATTTTATATGATGCCTTCAGAATTTTATGTAAGAGCCTTCGGAATTTATACCATGCCTTCAGAATTTTATATGATACCTTCAGAATTTTATACCATGCCTTCGAAATTTTATATGATGCCTTCGGAGTTTTTTGTGATGCCGTCGGAATTTTGTATAATATGCGGAATACGGAGTAACGAGTGCGAATGTAGAGTATAGAGTAGAGCGAAGGATCAGAGTATTACAATATTTATGTAAGCAGTTTCAGCGCTAGGGGTGTGTGTTGTCTGCCCCCCCCCCCCAGTTTGCCCTCGGATATTTTCATGTTATGTAAGTAGTGTAATACTGTTTTGAATACTTTTCTAGTCTTTCCCTCCGAAACACTTCTTTGACCCCGAATTGCCCCACACTCATTTTAACCTGGTGCCGCCACTGTATGTAAGAACAAACAAGGGACGTTGCCTCTTAAAAAATATTTCTGTGCGAAATATGTTCAAATATGATGGATTGCTTAAGAGAAAAAAAATCAGATTGCATCAGTTAAACTCTCCCATCAACCAAATTGTTGTGAATTATGTTCATGTTAATCTCATAACTCCAATCCCCATTGTTTACTCCGTACTTCCGTAGTTCGTTTTTTTCTAACCATACGAATTTTATTGTCTTGTGCATGCGCTCTGCCTCGTGTTTTACACGATTACACATGTTATATTGTGCATAGGGCAGTTCATAGGCGGTTTTATAATATTTTGATATGTTTTGTAAGCACTGTGGCAAATCATGCGTGTCCAACGCAAAATATTGTCATAACTGTGGAAGTAAAGTGGATGAAGTAGCAATAAGTACCCATGTGCAAAATGCAAACAGCGAGCTACCCACACAAGGAGCACAAGCGACCTCAAGTGGGCGGATGTCCTTTACTCAATTTCGAGCGCTTAAGGAAGAAGATCGAACAAAGCATTTCACTAAAAAGAATAGCAAAAAGTTAAAGTTAGATGGCAGGTGCAAAGAATCAACTCAAACACAGTGCAAAATTCAAATTGGAATAATGGTAGCCAAGGAGGGATGTCTACGGGCTAAGAGAGGCAGTAATGCAGCGCTACCTCTAACAGTGGTATCCACTATTACATACGACGAGTTGCTGACAAAAGCAGTACAAAAACATCATCGCTTTAATAAGGACGTAATAAAAGATGACGATAAACAATTCTATTGTCCTCTTTACGCGGACAAAATAAGCCATCAGATAAGCCATCTTGTGGAAATCATCCTGTATTGGAATGGGTTGAATTCCTTAGATTGACGACTTTTATGTATTATATAGGCAGTTCATTTTAAAGATTCAAACGAAGAGTTGCTTAGAAGGTTAGTTATGTGCTGTTAAATACATTTTGGTAGTACTGTAAATTGGTATGAATTATGTGGGGGAGTTTATTTCAAACTCCTTACAAAAAAATGTTTTATATGGGGACCTATATAGGCAATGTTCTAATTTCCTATAGAGGTCTATATATGGGTGTCCCAAAAAAGGAAAACTTTTCAATTCCCTATAATTAATATTGAACTCAAACACTTTTACAGTGCATTATGTGTAAAATTTTACAGGGTGAATAAAAAACCTGCAAACGCCATAATTCTTATGCTGCAACTAATTACACTTTTGGAATTTCAAAATAGTTCCCATGTACATTATTACTACCAAAATAATGCACATAAAGTGAACAAATGCCAGGAAAGTAATTAGTTGCACAGCCTTTAAAATGCTAATGTATGATCTTTTGCATACAAAATTATGGTATTTGCAGGCTTTTTGATACACCTTGTAGTAAAAAAATTACATGCATTAAATTTGATTTGATCATGTGTATGCACCCTTGGGTGTTTTTATGCTTTTTTTGGCATTAATTAGCAGAGTACTGACCAAAGGTATTCAAATTCTAACCGAAGATTAATATTTAACATTTTGCAGATTTTCTTTGAAACCCTGTGCACATTCAGCCATTTATATGACATATCTATACATTACCTATAGACGGGGGGATATCTACCATGGGTATGTGGTAACCCACAATGTTGCAAAGCCACAATTTTCTCAGGCAAATATTGAAAAAAAATCAGTGTAATGTCAGGTAAAATGTGTGTATAGAAAGCCTGTCCCAAAAATTCTCACACAGTACCACCATGTTATAGCTACTCCTATATATTTTAAAATCCATTTTTGTATGCATTTGGTTTTATGGATGTAAGAAATTTGATAGACATTGATAGGCCCCTGTCTGTTCAAATGGTGGTCTAACTCAACCACACCCTTTTCTCATGCAAAAAAAGTCTACACCCTGCCAACAATTAGCCAAACGTTATATGCCCATAGTGCCTATAGAGGCTGTAATTGCCTAATGAACTAAATGAAGCTTATTGAGACCTAGTATATGTAGGGCTATAGGCCAGCCAGGCATATAGAAGGGATTTACCAGCAACACAATTGAAAGTAACTACTTCTCTGTAAGCAAGCCATCAGTCACAAACCTAGGATTTTCAATTTATGGGGGCTCTGAAAAATATTAGGGACCTTAAGCAAATATGATTTTTGTGGACGACGACGACGAGTCTTAATGTGAAAAGTTGAAAAGGACTGGAACTAGAACCCCGTTTTCAGCGCGAAATTTTAAGCTTAAGCAAGAACAACACGACAACGTCAAGAATTTCCCAGTTTTAATATACAAAAAAATCGATGTCATCTTTTAAAGAATTACGGAATTTATTTTTGATTAGCCACGATGAAGGTATAATTGATGATGAAGAATTATTGTTCTTTTTGTCTTTATACGAATCGAAAAATCCAGATTTTCCATACGAGTTTTACCCAGATTTCAACCTTAACGAAATGGATGAAGATGAATGTCTGGCAGAGTTTCGGTTTCGCAAAGAAGATATTCCAGTCCTTGCAGCTCACCTTCAAATCCCAGAACGTTTTGTATGTGAGCAACGTTCAATATGTGATGGTTTGACAGGGCTTTGCATGTTGCTCAGAAGGCTTTCGTACCCGTGCCGGTATGGTGATATGATTTCACGCTTTGGTAGACCTGTTCCTGTGATAAGCATGATAACCAATACTGTGATTGATTTTATATACGCTCATCGAATCACTGCTTGGAATGATGTTATCATGAACCCACAGAAACTGCAAGAGTATGCTAATGCCATTTCAGCTAAAGGGGCACCACTTAATGAATGTTTTGGATTTATTGATGGCACGTTGGTAAGAATATGTCGACCAATTAAGAACCAAAGGGGAGTATACAACGGCCACAAAAGAGTACATGCGATTAAGTTCCAATCTTTGGCTTTACCTAATGGTATTATTGGAAATCTATATGGTCCAGTAGGTAAGTATCAAAGATAACTACTAAATATTACTGGTTAAAATTGCAAAATTTCATACATGATCATGCAGTGTTATACTGTAGGTATTTCAGGATTTAGTTGGGAACTTTCCTAGAATTTCTGAGGTTTTTCTGATGTACAACTGTTCCAGAATAATGGGGGAACAAATTATTGTATCTTAACCCATTATATCCTATACAGACTCAAGAAACACCCCTTGTCAGTTTCATTGCATCATTTGAGAAATGCACTGACATGTCTCTGGCAATCAAACTTCAACCTTTTTTAATTTAAATCCACCTACATTAGAAGAGTATTTTGCATAGCATGTTAAAGAGTAAAATGGTATTGTAAAAAATCAATTACAACTTATAATTATTGTCTGCAGTTCTTTCAATTATCCACAGTACAAACAGTTTGCTGTTAATTAATAACTGTAACATAGGTTAACTTTAGCTGTAAACATTAGTAAATTGTGTAAAGTGTAACAGGTTATTAAACTAAAAAGTTAGCACATTGTCAATGTTACTTTGAACCATTTCTCTCCATTAATGCCATCAGCATTTGGTTCTGCTGTTGTTGTTGTGTCATGAGCATAGCTTGCAGATTTTGCTGATTCTGTTGTTGTTGTTGCATTTGCTGCATCATAGCAAGAATTGCATCTTGTTGTTGTGATTGGTTTTCTTGATGTTCTGCTTTAGCTTTCTCTCTCTCAGCTGCTGTTTCCAACTCTTTTTTTCTAAGATTTATCTCCTCCAATCTTAAAGAGTATTCCTTTTCTGCTTTAACTTGTAGGTAGCTAATTGCATCACTTGTACTTATTCGCACCCTTTTCTTTTTCCTAGATGGAATCTCGTCATTTTCTTCCTTATCATCACCCACATCATCACTTTCACTTTTGCTCTTACGCTTTTTTGTTGTCATTCGTTTCATTGCATCTTCACGGATACTTTCCGCAGTACGTTTCTCCTTCTCAGCTTTGGCTTTGTTATTTTCAGCATCTAGCTCAATTTGTTCTTTGCCCAACGTTTCCTTTTCCAGTATTTCTTCCAGTAAGTTATCTAATTCAGTTTCTTCTACATCAATACCGGATGTCTTTTCTTCATCGTTTAACTTTTGTGCACGTTTTGCTGTTAAAAGACTACACCGATCACGAACAGACCTAGAAGTTACCCTAAACTTTGGATGGTGAAGCATGTTTAGATTTTGTGCAATTTTGTCCCATGTTTTTCCTCTTTCCTGGCTTCTCGGCTTTAAATAAAATGGCTCGCAAACAAGTATTTCACGGCATAGAAGTATATCGTGGTCTTCTGTCCACTGGAAAGGTTTACTTCTGAAAAAAGACAAGTAAACAAAATTTGTATTCATGTTTTTGGGACACTATTCATACTTACGTTGTATTCTTTGAGCGACGTTCAACTTGTTTTTCTGCAGCCACTGTCGCCGTGGATACAATTGTAGGGTCGTTCGAGGGGACGTTGACAGTATTGTTCATAATTTTGACAAAAATCTGAAATAGGAATTGTTTATCATATATAAATGAAATGTAGAACAAAAATTATCTGCGTAAGGCAGATACAACCAACCTAAAAATCGGACATAATACTCACGTTTTCACCTGAACGTCAAAACACTCGATTTGCCGTCGTCGACGAGGCATTGCAGGACGTCAACATTTTTCGAGCATGCGCAACATAGTCTTAGTTATGCAAATTTACTTCTGGTCGTCGTCGTCGTCCAAAAAGTCGTGTTTGCTTAAGGTCCCTATTAGAGAGGGGCAACCTTAAGAAAATTGCTGCCAATATATAGTTCAATGGTTGTCCAAGTCATAAAATATACTGGTCAAGCATGCAGTTACTTTCAAGTTTCACCTTCATGTTTAATCTGACAGAGCTAAAGGTCAATTTACCAACAGTTTTAAAAGAAGGTATATAACAGCCTGGTTCATGTACAGCTGCATTTTTTGCATTCTGTCATTGAAAGATTTTTACTTTGTTTTCATAATTTTGTAGTCACAATAAGAAAGGGAAAGCAACTAGTGAGGAAGCAAGCACATCAACTGATTCTATTTATGCAGCTTGGGTAACAGATGAGAGCACAGATTATGCATGTATTAGCAGTGAATCTGAGATCGAAGAGCAAAAGGTTGAAGAGCCAAATACTCAGAAAAAGCAAGAAACTCTACCAAATTTTGCAGCAGTTAGCTCTGGTTATTAACCAAGAAAGCATATCGAAGTTTAATATTAGTCGCAATCACATTTGGGAGGGTACTTTCAGGGCCCTGACTAGAAAGTCCTTTTCTCCCCAAAACAAAGTATCTGTAAAATTCTGTGATGATATTGGTAGACTTGAAGGAGCTGTCGATCAAGGTGATCCTAAACGGGAGTTCTTCACTCTTGTTCTTGAGTGGATTATCAATTCTCAAATGTTTTGTGGGACAGAAAAAAATAAATTTCTATCTTGTAATGTCATCTCAACGATTACTACTTTTATGCAGGCCAAATTATAGCCATGTCATTAGTACATGGTGGTCCAGCCATCAGTTGCTTTCTCCAGGGTTGTATCATTCATTGGTATGTAGTAATCGTTCTTCTTCTGTAGATATAAATGATGTTTATGATCTGGAATTAAGGGGTTATTTAACGGCATTAATTAACTCTAAATCTCCAGATGATGCTCAGGACTGCCTTAATAATCCTTCTTTCCAGACAATACTTGATTTGGCTGGCACATTGAAGCCAATTAAGTCCTTGGAAGACATTCAAATGGTCGCAAATGAAACTGCTCGATGGTTCCTATTAGGCAGGGTGAATTCATCTTTGGAACGCTTAAAAGATGGATTGAATACACTGGGTGTTCTAGACAATAGTTCTTTATTCACTCATATATAGAATAATTACAAATCATTATTTAATTTAAGTTGCATAACTATGAGTACCGACTCTCCATAATAACCATAGGGGCTAAAAAACTAGAAAGTCGGTATGTAATATATCGCAGGTCAAAAAGAAGAAAGAAAAAGATATAAATGTTTTATTAAAATTTAATTATAGATTATAATAAATGAATTGAAGAATAAGCCAAATCATTATGTTTAAAAATACGAGAGAAAAGAGAAAAAAGAGAACTATTAATAATTTTCAATCATATTCTCTTTGATTTTTTTCTTAAAGCTTTTAAATGGAAGAGATTTAATGTCTTCCGCAATTGAATTCCATACTTTGGCTCCCTGAAATCTGATATTAAAAATACCATAATTGGTCCTAGCTTTTGGAATACCAAATGACTGATTTTTAGAAAATCTTGTATTATAGTCGTGTATATCACTTGTAGATCTAAAGAAATCATCAAATACGGATGGTAGTAGATTATTATAAAACTTTTTCATAAATACAGCAATATGAAAAGATACCAGGTCAGTTAATTTCATGATTTTCAGAGTTTTAAAAAGCAAACTGGTGTGTTCATAATATTTAGTGAAAGTGATAATACGAATCGATCTTTTTTGTAGTATAACTAAGGACTGAAGGGTAGAGGGATAGGTATATCCCCATACAATTAGGGCATATGTAAGAAAAGGATGGATAAGTGCATAATAAAGATTTCTTAACGTATTTAAACTAACATAGTAACGGAGTTTAGATATGACACCAATACTTCTTTTAACTTTACTTTCCACAAAACTTATATGGTCCTTCCAACTATGATTGCAATCTAGTGTCAAACCCAAATATTTAATCGTATACTCTTGTTTTAATGATACATTCATTAATACCCAGCTAGCACAATCACGTTGTATGAACGTTGTATGAACGTTCGTCGAACGTTTAAATAACGTTATTTACTAAGGTTGGTTTAACGTTTTTTTGTGAACTCGTAGGAACGTGGTATTAACGTTAGGATTAACGTTACAGCCCGACGTAAATACAACGTGCGTACAACGTTCTACTTAACGTTCGGATAACCTAACTTCAGAACCCGACGTTAATGCAACCTTTAACCAACGTTCGAGCAACGTTTAAACAACGTCCAACCAACGTTAAGAAAACGTTGGATATCAACGTTGAGACAACGTTATTTTGGCAAGGTATTGAAAATTCCTGCAAATGCGTTTACCAGCTTGCAATACCGACACCATCGTCATCGATCGCCTTATCAGTTTGTTATAGAAATGTTAAATCGATGAGACTTAATCGTAGACTGCATTTTTAGACTAGGGAACTACAGTCGAACCTCTACTTATGGGACACCTCTCGGAAGCGGACACCTCTTGTACGCGGACACTGTTTTTGGGTCCCGGCCAATACGCTATTGTATTACTATATTCACTACCTCTCCTAGGTGGACACCTCCCATAAGCGGACGCGGACACCTAAACAACCTTCCCAAACAACATTATAACCTCCTGTAAGCGGACACACTTGATTTATTTTCTGTTAAATTAATAATTATGCCGCCTAATTGACTAGAAAGGAAACATATGTGTTTGATATATAATGTCTTGTTAGAATCAGCTGATGACAGAATTGATACGGAATCTATTACACAATTCAATATTGAATTCAAGTCTCTTGTATGAACCATATTATAGTTTCTCATCCAACACAGCGTATCCAGCCTTGCGTATTTTGTTCCTCAACCAAGTCAAAGAAAATTGATCGCCCCTGAACGTATAAACACATGGAATCTCAAGTCCGTAACCAGCTCCGCGATTTATTCGTTTTCCCTTTATTGTAACACTTGCAGAGTTAGATGCACGTTTCAAAAATTTGCTTACGTACGGTGCCATATTTTTGGGTATATGACCCACAACATCAGCAGTTTCATTAACAGTATTTACATGAAATAAGCTGCTGATTTCTGTTGATCCCCGTGATGATTTAACAATTGCCACAGCGTCTGAATCTTTTTTGTTTTCTGGTTCTCGTTTTAACTCGTATTTTTCGTTTATCTTTGGTTCCCAAATATCCACATATTCATGGTAACCTCGTATGTATGATTCCACATTAATAGTATCCATTTCTTTTTTGCGTGCGTGTGTTTAGTGTGAACAACTTTACAAGCTAGACTACACGTGCACAGATATAATACACATATCATATATCATCACAGACGATCGATATAAAGTATGTAGCGCACAAAAATGAACGTTGAAAAAAAAGCTCATTATGTCTTGTACTGTTTGTGGAACTACAACATCTTATGTATGTATAGATTGTGAACAACCTGTGTGCAACAAATCAACCTCGTGCTCTCGTTTTGCTCCAGAAACATCGAAAGGATGGAAGGCTGGTTTCAGAGTGGCTTCCTGTCAAAAATGCTGCGAAAGACGTGAACAGCGCGAGGAAATCTTTGTTACGGAGCAATCAAAATCAACACCGCAAAAACCAGTTAAAAACGAAAAGAGCAAGGTCAAAAATATTAGCTCATCCAAAGCTCCCACTTGTTTAAGCATTGATGATAAAGTTGAACTTATAAAATATCACGAAAGTCATCCACAGCTAGGTGTCAGAAAAATCGCAGAGAAATTTAGTTGTGGTCGAACCCAAGTTTCAACAATTATCAAGAATAAAGAATCCATTCTAGACGAGGCAATCCTTGTAGCAAACCAGGCTAGTCGGAAAAGGAAAAATCCGCAGAAATTTTCGGAGATAAATGAATATTTGTGGGCATGGTATAATCGCTGCAGAGAATCTAATGTCCCTGTGAGTGGTCCTATGCTGCAAGAGGAAGCAAAACTCATTGCCGAACGACTTGGAGATAATGAGTTTCAAGGTTCAAACGAATGGCTAGAGAAATGGAAGAAAAGGTACAACATCAAAGAGATGAGAGTCGCTGGTGAAGACGGTGATGTCAACGATGTTACGCTTGACAGCTGGCAGGAGCGCGTCAGGGAATTAACAAAGGGTTATGCGCCTGAAAATGTTTGGAATATGGACGAAACTGGCGAGTTCTGGAAAGCGCTTCCTGAAAAAAGTCTTTCTGAAGCAGGAAAAAGATGCCGAGGTGGAAAAAAAGCGAAGCAACGGTGTACATGGGCATTTTTCGTTAATGCCGCTGGTGGTAAGGAAGAGCCTGTTGTAATTGGTAAGAGTAAAAAGCCACGTTGCTTTAAGCACTTAAAGGACAAAACTAAACCGTACAAGTGCCGCTATTTCTCAAACTCCAAAGCGTGGATGAGGACTGAGATTATGGTGAATGTGTTAACTAAATTGAATGGACGATTAAAACGTGAAGGCCGTAAAATCATCCTGTTCCTTGACAACGCGCCCTGTCATCCGCATGAACTTAAGGGTCAGTTTTCAAACATTACTCTGACCTTTTTGCCGAAAAATACAACATTGAAGACTCAGCCTCTAGATGCCGGAATTATTAAATTGTGGAAGGTCAAGACTAGAAGAAAGCTGCTTCGCTTTGTATGTAGCAAAGTGGGTCAAGAAATAGCAAGTGAGATTGTGAAATCTGTTCATCTTCTTCAGGCCATTCAATGGGGCAAACAAGCGTGGGATGAAATTGACTCTGAGACCATCCAAAAATGTTTTGCGAAGGTGGGAATGTATCCAGAAAAGTTAAGTGATGATGACGATGATGACCCATTTGAAGGGGAAGAGATGATGAATTTGAACGAACTATGCTCGATGCTTTCTGATGACTGCTCTGCCGACCAGTACCTTGATGCAGACGACTATGTCCCATTCTGCGATAATTTGATCAACATCGAAGATTCCAATTGGCGGGAAGAATTAAGAGGAGAGCTGTTGAACGAAACAAGCACAAGTCAGAAATACGCAAAGCTAGATAACCTTGACAACAACGAAGACACTGATGACGAACAAGAAGATGATGATTTCGACGTCCCTTAGAAAGAACCCGACATTAAAACAACTGCCAAAGCTGTAAATGTTGCAGAAAATCTTCTAGATTTCGCGTATTTCACGGGCAACGAAGAACTTTGCCGAGCTGTCATAAATGTTAATGACATTCTTACAGACATACGTTTAGCGCGACAAAAGCAAGCGCACATAACAGATTTTTTCAAGCCATCTTAGCTGAACTATATAGTCTCATGTTTACAACAATGTAGATATTAGATTGGTAATGTTTGTATATAATCTGGGGGCACAAAGGTTTTTGTTAACCTCTCATAAGCGGACACCTCCTGTAAGCGGACATCAGGTCGTGGTCCCAAGGGTGTCCGCTTACGGGAGGTTCGACTGTATTATAAAAACATTTACACAACACAATGTGATTTAAATATTATATTTCACTGATGCAAATTAATTCACAAGCAGGTTTATTTACAAACCCATTTAGACATACATATATACATCACATAACATTTTTAACAAGGACAGTGTCAGGGTTAAATTACTCATTACTCTTGTTGCTCGGATTGTGTCTTTCGATCCTACAAAGGAAGGAAGATAAAAATAAGTGATAATGATCAAACTTACTAACTGGGGCCGGTTGTATTAAGCTCATTTAGCTTAAACGGTGAATAAGTGAAAATTAAATAATACTCTTATAAATATAACTCTCTTGAATGAGTCGACTTGAATATTATGCGCTGAATAGGCATGTAGTTGTAACAGTATATTTGTATTAAGGTTAAAAATATTTAAAACGATAGACTTGCTTTCTATTTCTAACATACCCATCATTTAAACTAAACGGGCTTGATACAACCAGGCCCAGAGGTATATATTGAACGCAACATATACCCGTTTGTATTTGTAAGTCTTTCACAACAATTATATTCCCGCTGTTGAAGCATTTTACACTAAACAAAACTATTCAATAATACCTAATGCTTGTAATTGGTTAGTTGGTTACCTTAAATCTTGAACCTCCAGCCTTGCTGGGAGCATATTTTAAAACTTCGCTGATCTGTTCTTCAACTGTTGCTTCATTACAATCTCTGTGCACTCTCAAACACGCTTCTATATTACAAACCAAAAGGTTGATTTTAAATAATACAGTTAATTTTTATTTATTTTACATGCTTTGTCAATCCTGACAGGCAGGGTAATCCCTATTCAGAGCGCATTGCTCCATTAATAGGGTACCTAAAATTACATTATACACAAACAACATTTACAAGATAATGGTGATTAATTCCAATGGCAATATAAAGGGTCCTTAAAAACGAAATCGTTTCACAACATTATCGAGCCAGCTTCTTCTTAAAAATAGTTGCTTTTGAGGAAATACATGCACAAAACAAAGTATAAGAAGGAAACATTATATAGCTGCTTATAATAACTTTACACACAGCGAGATCCTTGAATGACCGTTTTGCTTTCCTGCCTTTAAAACTGTATTTCGACCAGAGATTATTTGTACCCAGCCTAGCCATCATTCTTCTGACACTACTTGCACATGTGCTCGCACAGAGCGTTCCCAAAAAACGTAACTACAAAGTAGAATTGATTTATATGAGAGTTGAACTCACATTTGACTGCCTGTTGGCATAACCTCTCAATCGCTTACATAGCTACTGTTCTTTCAAATTTTAACGTTCTTTTAAAGTTGAATAGTTTATAACAAGCTTGAAATAAGCTAGCACAAAACTAGCAAGTACATTATAATGCATCGGATTCTGCTTTAAATTAACTTACCAGCTTTTTTTTGTACTCATCATCAGTAAGACGAGATGACAATTCTTTGAGATCATCAACTGTGTTAATTGCCTTTGGAATTATATCTTCAGTGATATCTTCCTCATTTAGGCCTTTGGTGGCACTTAACAGGACGCGCAATATCGACAAGGCTTCTTCGTGTTTATCAATGAGGGTGTCTAGCTTTGTTAAGACTGACCTTTGAAAGCCTGGAAAATTGAAAAGGAAATTAAACTTTAAACATAGAAAGATCAATTGAATATAAAAATAATCAATATCGACTTCGGGCAACACCAAAAAAGATTTTCTAGGGGAAGCTAAAACCTTGAGTGTTACAGTAACAAAACTAACAACTAACCACTACTATGCGATTGGGAATGTCTCCCAGGTGTTACACTTGTCATTGGCGTATGATTCTTCTTTGTTTCTACAAAGAGATGTAGTGTAATGAGCACCTAAAATATTATCCGTTAAAGAAGAGTCTCATATCACTTCCTGTTATACTATGAGCACTTCTGTTTGTGAACACTATAGAAAATTATTTTCGACTGGATTAACATACCACTAGGCCTTGATGTAGGATTACTCGGCAAGGGGTTATGCCTATGTCTGCTGTTGAATATATCTGCAATAGTAAATAAAGATAATGTAGCTATTATAAATAGTAAATTCTTTAAAAAATAGTCATCAATAACTGACAATTCAGTAAAGTTTATATATACCATTCGACTGGGATGGCGTGTGGAAAGCGCTGCAGCTGGGTGCTTCTTGCAGAGGTTGTGTGTCTAGTATATCTAACAAAGAGGTATTAGGACCATTAGCTAAATCTTGTACAACAATATATTGACGATGGACAAAACTATACAGTAATAAACCGTAGAATTAATATTCCTACCTTCATGTGAGATTGTAACCAAATCATTGTATATGCCTAAATACAAATTAAAGAAACATTAGATTTGATTAAAACATTAGAGATTATTAAAAGTGAATTGAAATGAGAATTTTTGATCATCTTATCAGCATTAGTTATTACTATACTTACTACTTGGATCAGTAGACAAGATCTGGCTCAGTGTTGATATCACCATACTTCCCGATTGACTAGTGGATTCCTCTATAATTTCTACAGATTCTGCATTTTGTGGAGGTAACCGTTCATTGTTGGGTTTTCGTGGGAGCACCGAGGGTTTAAAACTTGGTGCTATTGGTAGTTTAGCACGCTGTGAAGGTACGTGTTGTGGCCTCTCCTGTTCATCATTGTCATCATCCTCTAGTGTAACACAAGATCGCAAAATAAGATATATTTTCATTCAAAGTATGCACAAAACAAGGTGTTTACACCACTTATTCTTATAAAATCTATCTTACTGTCTGTATCACTGTAGTCTGGAAAATCCTCCTTGCTACTTCTAATGCAAACACGTTTCCGTGGCACATTGCAGTCAGGATCTTCATCTGATTCTATGTTTGTAGACCCACTGTCTTCAGGATTTAACCATTGACCATTATCATTATTAGGCACAAGAGCATCACCACGTCTTAATGCTCTATTAGCAGCAGCCCAGTTTTTCCTGTATTGTGCCCGATTAGATTTCATTGTTTTAAACTGAAAAAAAATTATAAAATCAGCTTAAAGTATTTATCATAAAAAATTAAAAACTTAAACCAAATAGGGATGGCTCTGCCCCACTATCAGTATGCCATATAAATGTATCTAAGTCTATAATAACATAGATAGTTTGTAATACTTCTATCTGAATCACCTTAGACTGATTACCACAAAAACTTTATAATACACATTTCCAATTTAAACTGGCATAACTTGTTTGTCGATGTTTCAATCATATTGATGCACATTCATTAAACTTAGTAAACAACTAGAATTTAATTCTATTAGTATGCTTTCAATATTTGTTGAATCTTTCAAAACCTCTACTTAGGTCATGGTGTCAGAATAAAGCATTTTATTTGGGCAACTTCAAAGAAATTATAAGTTATAAAAATAGTAACTTTGTTTATGCCTAAATTCAAAATTGGTCTATAATGTGTGAAGAACAATTACTTTATACCTATACTGACTCACTTAAAATAATACACATCGGCACAATTTTTTATTGCCTAAAATAGTTAGGGGTGCTTTTCTGCCGATATCCTTAAGTTATTTATATATTACTTTTATATCATTCTGTTGTTCTCTGAAAGGAACATAACATAGCCCTCATTAAAGACTAAATTCAAATGACAGCTTATCACACTTCACCAAAGGTAGCTAGAGAATTGGAAGCCATGAACACAAATAATCCAAACTATTATAGACTGCAAATACAATCATTCGACCAGTTTAGCCTTTTTTATACATGAGCAGAACATATCTTAGGTTATCCAGGGCGAATCACAGGCTTAAACACAATAATACAATGCCATACACCTGATCCTTTCTATTATATACCCTCTCTCCTCATGGGAGATGACAGAAAAAGTAAAAACATGGCACATTTTAGAAGTAATTAAACAATTATGAATCTCTTCGTATCTTCGTGTCGTGTATATGAATATTTCGAATTTAGAGTAACCTTTTCTATATAATCGACGCAGGTAAGCTTTAAAAATTCAAATTAAAACGCCGAGCCGAAGACACATTATAATTTGATGCCCTTTGACCTTATATATATCACAGTGTTTCCAAACAAATTTTCATTCATATTACAATCTACAACAATATTTACTTACGTTTACGACCTTTTTAATTAAATTCTTTCCAAACGAAATGTTCAAAACGAAAGATAATAATTGATATTACTGTTTTCTTCGCAGAGTAGAGTTTTCAAATTTCAACAGTGACGAACACGTGTATATGTGATGGTAAAAGCGATCTGATTTTGCGAATCGCACACAGTGCTGACCATATATGGTATTGACATATACCAACATTCATTTCGGCGTTGACATGCCGCAATCTTGCCTCATGGAATTTGACAGAAAGAAACATAAATCATGAATCTTTTCTTACCTTTGGGTCATTCCAAGCCAAAGCGACCAATCTCCCTGCACTTCCGTAACAGATTCAGCTAAAATTTGGCACACACAAAGAGTATCATATAACTAAAAACTGTGTGGATTTTGACTTGATGATACTTAGTATTCCAAAAATTATAAGCGAATTACTGCGAGCCTGACAGGAGGGTATGTTGCCAATTTGACAGAATTGCATAATCTCCGAGTAGTTCGTTTCTCAATATTTT